CAAAACCCCAAAACCCCAAAACCCCAAAACCCCAAAACCCCAAAACCCCACGACAGAAGAATTTAGCTGTAATTGAATCCAGTTTTCAAATGTACAAATTATTTAATTGTATAAATTTCTCGCAAGTTTCATTATTTATAAGATTTCTATCGAATATCGATTTAATGTTCTAGAAAATAATGCCTGAGTAATTAGTCTAATTTTTACAATTTTGCAAAAGCTATAGCATAGAATTTCCAAACTAAATAAAAACTTGGGGTTTTCTATCAGATTAAATCTCATTGATAACAAGGTTTTCACAAATCTCGAATAAATTCTTCAATATTAATTTGGGTAGAAGGGATTTGTCATTGAGGAGAAATTGATGCGCTGATTAAACAAGAAAAAGGCAGTTACTTTAATACCCAACTAACTAAAATTTGTATTATTCTAAGGTTCTCTCTAAATAATACTAAAACCTTGCACAGTGTCTTCGATTAAGTTTATCAATATCATCATTTATAAGTTCCTTGATCAGTAACATTGTATACAGCTGAACATTTAATTACAACTCAAAATTTCCATTATTAATTTCTATGTATATTGCTAAACATCTTGTAAATGCGAGGATGTTTAAATTTTAAGTCAAATTTTCAGTCAAGCATTTAGTATCTTTTAATTCAATTTTTTCTGATAGTATTGCATTGATACAAGTATTGAACGAGGATTTTATACCTTCATTATTTGGATCTCTTGTTAATAGCATGATTACAAAAACTATTAGGCATATACCTTTTCTCTAGTATTTAACAAGTTCATTATTGCTATTCTGCTATTGTGGGTTAAAAATATTATTCAATCCCATCTCTAGCAAACATTTAATAAATTTCTAATGGCTACTTGAATGCTATGCTACCTTATCCAGTAATATTTTCATTGTTTAACATTCATTTTTTATAAAATAGATTAGCTTATTAGTCTCAATCTTCTAGTCCAAAAATAAGCTTGGAATCAGAGTATTTAAATTCAACTCTATCTAATTAAGTACCAGATCTAAAAACTGTTTCATATTCTGCTAAGTTTGATATTAGAAAGGATTGTGAGTATACTGTAAGCTTATATACTAGTAAAAGTAAAATATATCATTGAACTCTGATTACTTGAACTAAACAGTACTATTAAAAGTACTCCGTTGCTTGTTATCCATTAGTAATTAAGGCATGACTAGCTTGATAATTTAACTTATCATTACTGATATACTGTTATGCAAGTGAGCGATTGACTGGTATTGTACCATGAATTAGAGCATTAAATATTTTATGAAATCTATGAACTTTTCATTAGCTTGCTGATTTTAGCTTTGATATTGTTAGCATAGATAAGGTAAGTGAGAAATATATCTGAGCACTGCATAAATATAATCCTCCTAATCTTAATTATTCATCTGCTATTTGCCTTAATTGTAATTCTTAATTGAGTTTGATAAAAATCTATCAAAGAATTTCATAAGCAATTAATAATAATCTTTTGTGCTAAGTAGTGATGATATATCTTCAATAAGAGCTTAGAGAACAGCATTTTCTTATTTATTCTTAAATATCAGAAACTGATAGGCTTTTTGGTTCGATAGCAACTCTAAATATTTTATAACCTTTACATTCATGAGATATTATTGTCCATTAAATTAATCTCTGTTTAAAAATAAATCTTGAATCAAATCATCAGCAATAATATTTGACATCTACAAATGTAGGATTTAATTATTTTGGACTTCAAAATCAAACAACTTTTAGATATCAGTTATTTTAAGGAAACTTCTTAAATATATGTTAATCAGCTAATTCATGAACGAATCTTTTTGAGTCTTTACTAAGAAGTCATTCATCTAGCCATAATTCTTTGATTATATCTTATGGGTTAATTGCTATAAGTTAATATTTTTATTTTCAAATAAAATAGCATCAATCTAACCGCTAATTTTAAATAACTACCTTAAAACCTAAAAATCTTTCCCATTTAATAAATAGCTTTTTAAATGTCTTTCAATCAATACTTTCGCATGCTACTATATTATCTATTAGACTAGTTTATTATCTTATTCCTCGTAAATAAATATGTCTGCCATAAATTGCTCGCATTCATCAATTAAGATATCATCATTATCTGAATTCTATAATTAACTTGGTTTTTCAGACAGATTTTATTCTATCTAATTTGAAGTGTTTTCGTATTATCTTTTATTTAGAAAAATTTGAAAATATTTAAGTGCATGATACAGGATCTTCTCTATTTCACTTTGTTTAATCACCAAAAACTGGTAAATAGACAATACTTCCTCTAAGAGATTAAAATCAGCAAGGATATATTAGTTTTACTTCCAATTACCTCTATATAATTTTTTATAGCATTGAAATATTACTTACTTAAATCGCTTGTTAATTTCAAACAGTGCTTTCATCATCATCATTAGGTTCGCCAGATAGGTATCATTTTTCATGCTAAACTCATTTTAGCTCATGCTAGTCTTCTGTTTCAAAACATCAGAAATATATCTTTACACTAGCTTTTTTACAAGTGAATTAAGAGTTTAATAATACTCAGACCTATCGATTTCTTAATATCTCTAAATTGTTATATGGAGCTCTATAATCATATAAGCAATTCCGAAAACAATATCAATGTTTTGATTTCGTGTATTGACTTCATCCTAAGCTAACTGGATGCATTTCTTATATATAATTAACGATTAATTTTCATTTTCAATGCTCCTGGTAAATTTTATCTAAATCTTAAACTGATCTAAAACATTAGCTGCTGCCCTTCCTTAGCCTTAAATAAGTTTTTGGTAAAGCTGCTTGATCTACTTTTGATCCAGCTAGTCAATATAAGTCTGAAGTATATCTTATTAATCCTTCTTAATATGCTGGGTAATAGTAGATTTAGCTGATTGGTTGTTTTTCTAATTTATACAGTTAAAATCATCAATTAGTCTTTATAAGCTCTCTTTTTACAATCTTATTGTCAGCTTTTGATTTTAATTTTACAAGTAGTTATTATAAATAATCACGAAGGAATCCTAAGTGATATTGTGTGGATATATTTCTAAAAGTTGGGATAGTATTTTTAAAGAGATATTACTGTACTACTACTAGGAGGCTTGCTATTATAAATTTGAATTCAATATTTAGTAATGATTCAATATTTGACTTATTCTGATCCAATCAAACTAAGTAGTCTCCTTCTCACTTTCATCATTTACACAGATTATATCAATCAAAGCTATTAAATTTGCATACGAATATAGTGCTATATCAAGATTTTTAATTTACGAGTTAGTATCAAAGAACTAAATACTCAGTTCTGGTTGGCTCTTCCATTATTTGAATGTTGCAATTTGAATTGAATTATCAAAGTTCTATAGAAGTATAATTACACAGCACTTTCCTATTATTTCATTTATGTTATCTTTGAACGGCTTATTAAGTAACTTTAAGATGATAATAACATCTCCATACTCTTTTTTTAATAAACCTCTTGCTTGTTCTTAATTTAAACTCATGAGAATTTTAATAACATATAACACGATATACTAGAGAAATAGCTCATAATCTACAATCATTTTACCCTACTCTTAATTCAGTAGATCAATAATAAGTATTAATTGCATAATAACAGTTGTCTAGTATTCAAAGGATTTTATCATCATAAACTCGAATATGTTTAGGTTAAATATAAGGTTAATGAAGCAACTGTTTATCTTGGTAATGAGATCTTGTTTTTAATAAGGAGTAAAACTGTCCTAAAGAAATTGAGTAAGTAGCTACCAAAACAGATTAAAGCTAAAACAAATTTGATTAATTTTACTATTGGAAGCATAAAGAACAAAGTTTGACAATGTAGTACAGTAGTTTTTAAGAGCTTTTAGTATTGATTCTTCATCATTCTTTTAATAGTTCTCCTCATTGAAGTATATTGTATCCTCATCATCATATGGTAACTGATTTTTCCCAATATACTATTGGATTTTTAAGACCTATTGATTAATGTAGCTCTTGAAATGATTGTCTTCTTTAAATTTATGAATGAATGATTTCAAATCGAACTAATTTAGTCTCTTAAAAAGTTCATCAACTCTGATTTAGAATTCCTACCTTTTGAATTAACTTTCTTAAAGAGTAGATTGCTAGGTCTATTTTTTATAAAACAAAGAATCTAGTCTAGCTATTTGTTAGTTTTCAGGTTTTTTATTATTATTCAGCTGATTGCTACTTCCAGAATAAATAGATCTTTCGAGAGTCAAAGCTGTGGTCTAGGAATCAGGGAAGTAATCTACAATTTTTCCCCAATTATTCTTTTTTTTCTCTTTCTAAATAATTTAACCAGTATAGCTTTAGACTAACTTTGCTTTAGATCTTTAACCATAGTCAAGAAGATTTCTTTATCTTGGTTTTTCGCGTGGAGGATTATTTGACTAGTCTCTTTTTCTTTTACTTATTTTGATAACATTCCCACTTTATTAATATTTTTGTTTTTATTATTGAAATAAATCCTTGAGAGTCTTAACTTTATCAAAGCTCTATCGATCTTTATTTGTTTATTAAGATTATTATTGACTACCAGAGATTTGGCTATAAACATAGCTTTGATTATCATCATCATCATTCTCCATATTTTCATCTCTAAATCTCACCTAATTATCATTTTCTTCTAGGTCTGCCACTCTTCTTAATATTCTTTTCATTTATTATTCCTCTTCTTTTTCTTATTAAAGCATTAAAGAATATCTTGGTACCTATTACTATTCCTAGCCTGACTTTCTTAGCTAGTATTAATCATCTAACTTATACCTATAATCTTTAATAGAGCTCGATAGAATGTCTAAGAATTCATCATTATCTAGCATTCCCATATTATCAATGTTAAATACTGTATCTGCATTTTCTATCTTTAGATGAAATCTTTGTTTTAATTCATCTATTATATTTTAATAATCTAAGATTTTTTTTTTAAGTTTCTTAATTTTGTTGAGATAATATTTCTATTGGTCCTGTTCATTGAAATTTAGCTGGTTTTTAATAATCTTAATTTCCTCAAATTTCAAACCATATTTCATTTTGAGCAATTAATCCGGCATATACTAAAATTAGCATACCTAATTGTAAATCATTTCTCCAGTTATGTTTAATAATTTCCCTGAATTTAGCAAACAAGAACTATAGAACTTGTTCTTGAGTATTAATGGTAAAATGCTAGAATTAACCAATGTCTTTGCTAATTTGCTAGAGTTTTAATTGTTTTCAAAGTAATTTATGTTTATTTTCAGTTCATGTAAATCCTAAGGTAAATAAAAAAAGAACCTCAGTATAGACTCCTAGTCTTCAATATTAAGCTCTAAAATTGCTTTTTTCATCTCCTTCGATAGATTTTTATGATCAATCTTTATCAAATTCTGCTAAAAATATGAAGAATCAATTTAGCAACGTTATGTATTATCGTCAACATCTTTTTCATTTAAATAATCATCTATTTTAATAAATTATGCCAGCTCTTGTTTTCTATTGAATGCCTTAAGCTCATTGAGCTATGATTGTCTAAGAATGTAAATCTAGGACTCATCTTCTTCTTCACTTTCAAATTCTAGCAGTCTTAGGAAATCATCTTTATCAGTGTTCATTAAATGAGTCATTTTTAATTCATTGGCTTAGCTTTGCTAATTTTGAGTTTCCATTTTAAACAATTTAATTTCAATTAATAATTCCGCGAAATCACATAAATTATATATATATATTACGTTGGGGTTTTGGGGTTTTGGGGTTTTGGGG